ATTATCTGGTCCCACTCAGAAGAAGCACATGTCTCCCAGGGTGTGACACAAGCACTCCCTACCTTCTCCATGCTGTCATCCACAGACAGCAGCGTCTGCATCCTCCTGCGCTGGAGCATGTTGGTGAACTGCATGTGGACCGGCCTCATGGGGCCGGTGTAGCGCAGGATCCAGTGCTTGTCCAGGTTGGGAGCGTAGTTGTAGCTCGGAGTTCTTCACGGGTGGAAAAATGAGAAGCATGAGAGACCTCACACGTGTGGTAATAAAGTAGATCAGTATAAAAGGGCAGCAGTAGCTCAACAGGTCGAGCGGGTTGTCCAGTAATCGGAAGGTTGCAGGTTCGATCCCGGCTCCGGACAGAGAATTCTACTGTTGTGTCCTTGGGCAAGACACTTAACCCACCTTGCCTGCTGGTGGTGGTCGGAGGGGCCGGTGGCCCCAGTGCTCTGCAGCCTCGCCTCTGTCAGTGCGCCCCAGGGCAGCTGTGGCTACATCGTAGCTCATCACCATCAGTGTGTGAATGTGTGTGTGAATGGATGAATGATACACTGTAGTGTAAAGCACTTTGGAGTCCTTACTATGAGAGGCGCTTTACAAGTGCGGCTCATTTATCATTTATCATATCATGGATATTCCAGTCCTGGTCCTACAGTGTGTGGCAGCACAGCAAAAACTACCCCGACGTCACACGTGACGTTCCCCCAGTGAGAAGGGAAATCTTACAGGATAAGGCGTGACTTTGGAGTGATGAAACATGGTGGAGGAGCGTGCTGCATCACCTCACTTTCTGATTGGCTACACATCACGTTGAACATGCATGCACCACACCGTGTGTCCTTGGAAATCAAACCAAGACAACCCAACGTGTCTGACAGCCCTGATTGATGATCAAAGCACTCCGAGCGGACCACAGCGTTATTAACACACCACACATGGTAGGAATATCTGATAAGATTATCTCAGCAGACTTTATGGATATAAGGGGCATTGAGATTGTTGGCAAGGGAGAATCAGGTCAGAAAACAGCATCATTATGTCGCCGTACAAGTTCATCATGATTAAAAACGTCCCACTTTGGACTGAGAGGGACTGGCAGTTGCATCTTAGTAGTAAAAGAGAAAACAGTCGTTCAGATGCTGTTTTCTCTGTATTTCACACCCTGAGAGATGGAATCTTGTGACTTTTAATCATTTAAAGTTGGTTTTAGCTGTGACAGCGATTATATCTGCTGGTGGCGGCTCAAGTCTTCCCAGAGAAGGACAAAATTCTGTAGCTCACAAAAACAATCATTCAGTAGGCCAGCACCATCGGATCAGAATCTAGCGCCACACAGGGCTAATTATTACAGAGCACACAGGGGATTCAATAAGAAGGTAGGTGTAATTTTCAGGTGGGTTGATTTGATTTTAGATCTGTTACTGTCACAAGGTTTTGCCTGTAATCTAGTTTAAAACAAGCAACAGTGTGAGGTTTTGTCACCAGACTGGTGCTTCACTTTTACTTCCCCTCTCGTCTCCTCTGGTGGACGAGGACAGGTGGAGGTAGAGAGAGGAAAATAACCAGAGAACCCCAGGAAACGGTGCATTTATGCAGAGAGATAGAGAGAGAGCAATTAAAAGTTAGCTCAAAGACACTGGGGTTGGGTTTTGTGAATATTCTGTGTATAAAAGCTGTGTGACACAGGTTAATGATGCTGGAGGGATTAGATGGAGCAGTGTGAGTGTGTGAGGGGGCTGGAGGGAAGCAGTGGAAACTACAATCTCATTACTGGCCTTAGATACATCTCTGGAGGCCAGTAGTGGGTTTGCCGTTAGCTAGCAGCACTAGAGATCCAGTCCAGGTGCAGAGTGTGTCTACGTTAAATAACCCTCGTTTATGCTTCTTTTTATTTAACAACACAGACTTGGAGGGATTATTAAAATGAAAACACAATGTGAACAACACCAGACCAGTAAACTGGAGCGCAGCACTGAGTGTGAGGTCTGAGCAGCCAGCAGCAAACTGCAGGCAGAGGAAGACAAGATGGAGCTGAAATGATAGAATTGGTGTCAAACGGCGGGAGGCGTGAACGCAGGAATGAGTCATGTGCTAGCGAACAGCACAGTCCCCGTGGGAGCCTCAGCACTGTCCCACAGAGATCAAACAAAATAAACGCTAACTGGGAATAAACACTTCACCACTCAGGTTTATAGGCGGAATACAGTCAGAGGGCAGCGACTTGGTGCCTCGATGCGGTCACAGAGCTCATAGGTTTTAGATCCTTACATGTGCTGGGAGGCGTTGGGGAAGGCAGCGCTGTACTGCGGGGCCGAGTCCTCGGGACCGTGTGGAGCCACGTGGCTCAGAACCATCATGATGGGACGGTGAGGGTACATCCTCTTAGACAGACGGAAGTAGTTGATGCTGTCGTTGGTAATGATGTCCGTCAGGTAGTCCTGTAGATGGAATCCACCAGTGATGTTAACGGTCTCTCTCTCTCTCTCACACACACACACACACACACACACACACACACACACACACACACACACACACACACACACACACACACACACACACACACACACACACACGCACGCATGCATGCAGGCTGGTTTCAGTACCAGATCCCAAGTGGAACAAAAGCAGAAACTATCTCCCGACTGCATGTTGGTGTTTTTAACATCTTGGTGGGGTCTGAGTGACACTGCATCAACCCTATAACGGGTCATTTTAGCACAAACTGGTTCAAGAAAATGAAAAATTTGGAAACGTTGCAGATTATGGCTTTAAGACCTTTATTCTCCCTTTGTATCCTGATTGTCTCAGATTGGCCAAACCCAAACAAAAAGTGTTTTTATTGGATCACATGTAAATATATTGATAGTGTTTCTTCTCATGTTTCTATCTCTACGTTTGTTTGCAGGATTTCTCCTGGATCACTGAACAGATTTTAGGCTCAGTGGCTCAGTGACCTAGTGGTAGAGTGTCCGCTCTGAGACTGGGAGATCAGGGTTCGATTCCTGGTCGGGTCATACCAAAGACTTTGAAAAATGGGACCCAATGCCTCCCTGCTTGACACTCAGCAGTAAGGGGTTGGATTGGGGGGTTAAACCACCAAATAGTTCCCGAGCGCGGCTGTGTCTGCAGCTCACCGCTCCCCCAGGGGATGGGTCGAATGCGGAGAACAAATTTCACACACACACACCTGTGTGTGTGACAACTAATGGGACTTTAACTTTAATGAAACTCTTAGAAAGTCTTCATCAGCATCTGATCAACCCAATTCAAGATGGCCGCCTCAGAAAACCAACATTAGCTAAATCAAAACAGTTGGTCTAAAATGATCTGATGACTATATCACACACCCTTACATGTGATGAATAGTCATTTTTTACTAAATCATCTGTAACTCCCTCATTTGTAAACAGAAAACCATCCTAATTTAAGGCTGTGTCATGTGAGGCTGTGGGTTACAGGAACAGCTCTGAAATCTGATAAAGTTATCTCATTCTGAATTTTGTAAAAGCAGGAATTTCTCCTGATTGGCTCTGTCAGAGCGTGAACGCATGAGGGCAGATGTGATGCCTCCTCCAGAGGTGGGAAAGCTCGGATACCTTTGGATAGTCGCTGCTGTGTTTCTCTCGTACTCCATTTCTGCAGAGGGTGTAGTTGTAGAAGCGGGAGTTCTTCACCAGCGCCACCCACTCCCTCCAGCCAGGGGGCACGTAGGAGCCACTGTACTCATTCAGATACTTCCCAAAAAAGGCTGAGGGCAAATCCCGTGAGCAACATGTTATTCCCTCTCAAAAAGCGACTGAAGTGGGAATCAGGCGTGTTAAAGAGTTGGCAGAGCTCACCTGTCCTGTAGCCAGAGCTGTTGAGGTGCACAGCGAAGGTGTGTGGCTCGTGGTGCACCTGCCACGACGGCGAGGAGCAGTTCTCGTTGTTGGTGTAGGTGTGGTGGTTGTGCACGTACTTCCCTGTCAAGATGGAGGAGCGCGACGGGCAGCACATGGGTGTGGTGGAGAAAGCGTTGGAAAAATGTGTGCCTCCCTTCTCCATGATCTGCCGAGTTTTGTTCATTGCCTGCATTGAACCTGAGAATGAAACCGGAGTGACAGGAAGAGAAAACAAGAATTTATGTGAGGGGATGGGAGGCTAAGATTCAATGGTTCACAACTGAAAGGGAGGGGACCCCGAGGGGATACAAAGCAGTTGGAGAGGAAGAGGAGAGAGTGATTCAGGAACATGCAGAGACTTAGCAGGCAGAAGTGTAAAGATAGGCGAGGGAGGAACACGGTAGGAGAAGAACAAGAGTTGGAGTTAAATGAGGGAATAAATCTTTTTGGTAAACCGTGACCCACTCAGACGTGTTAGGGCTGAAAGGGATTGTTTGGGGGAAACAGATGCTTGACCATAAATTCCTCCATTTGAATGGAAGTCCTCTCACTGCGATCACACAAGGACAAAAGATGTCACAGAGGCCATTATGCAGCTACTCCAACCCAATCTGCTGCTAAAGGACTTAAGTGGCTCGGGAGATGGCCAGGATCTGGCAACCAGACAATGGGAGCCATAGGCTGCTGCACTCATTTCATGCCAGAACCAGAGTTGGCACAGAGAGCACATGACTTTGAGTGAACCAGCTGTTATGTTGCCAGGAGGCAGCATTAGGCCGACTTTCCCCAGCAAATGTCATCAGCTCTACATGGACAGCATACTCATGGGACGCGGGACACAAACAGGAGGGTCAGAGAGTGAAGGTTAACAGGGTCCTACCCAGTTCCAAGTCCTGATCATCCGTGAGAATTAGGATGATGTTGGGTCGAACATTTCTCACATGGCGGTCCCTCTGCAACCGAGACCTGAGGCGATAACCGGACAGGTAGCCTGATCCCTGCACTTCAGGAAGGACTCCAGCCAGGACCGAAATGAGAAGAAGAAGAGGGAGAACGGCAGCCATCGCGCCGACCTGCAGCCTCTCCTCCTCAGTCCGTAATTCAAGACACTCTCACAGCCTGGGAACAGGACACAGGAAGGGACTGATGAGAATAAAACCTCCAGACTGACACACACACAGACCACGTTAGAAAACAGCAGATGTAAGCCATACACAGCCATTACAGGGTGTTCTTCCACGTAAATGCACCCGTTTGGGCTGAGCTCAGCTCGTTAATCAATCATTAATGATGCATTAGAGCGGTGTCATTGGCTGCTTGTAATGATCCCTGGTGATGAGCACTTGGCTGCCAGGCTGGGGCTAATGGGCCTGGGGCCAGCTCAGACCTTACCTCCCCCTGAGAGGGGTGGGAGGAGGAGGTGAAGGAGAGACAGGATGAGAGCAGGGGTCGGTGAGCGGGGTGACGATGTCAGCAGACAAAAGAACTCTAAAGGAAAGCGAATGCACCAGAAAACAAAGAAAAGCCGAGAAAGTTTATGTTAATGTGTCCACAGTGGAAAAACTAAAAAGGTTTAGATGCTGCAACAAAACAGAACACCGCTCCTCCTCACAACTACAGTTAACAACCACAACAACAACAACAACAACAACAACAACAACAACGGGTTTGTAGAAGTTACCCGGCTGTCCAGATAAAAAAACAACTAGTGTGAAACAGGAAGGTAATGAAAACATTAGAATCAAATGGATAACTCAGACGTTTCAAACTATGTGCAAAAAAACAACGACTGCCTGAACAGCCTCAGTTCCAAGACACAATTTATAGTAGACAGGATTGATGAGCTAACAGCTAGGCCAAACCAGTCTACCAAATTTTACAGCATTACTGCTGACTTCCTCTATAAATGTTAAAATCATCCTCGATTTAGCATCCTGTGGTTATTTATACAAACCTTTGTGATTATTTCCAGGTTTAAATATTAGCACTGGCAGCTGAACGGTGACCTCAGGGGTCAAGTTCAGCAGCAATATTTCGGCCAAAATCATCATTTAGGGCAAAAATATCAGAAGTGTTAAGGTTTATCAAACAACACTTACTTATGTCTGCTGTTTTAGGAATATGGTAAAAAACTCTGGTCCTAGCTGTGTTCAGGTTTGACTCGGTTCACACAGCAAGATATTCATGCTAGGATGTGTGTGACCTGATCATCGACAATGAATGTGGTCGACACATGTAGCAGTTACATTTAGCTGTCGCATGTAGCTGTCACATGTAGCCGTCACACGAAGCAGTTACATGTAGCCGTCACATGTAGCGTCACATGTAGCCGTCACATTTAGCAGTTACATGTAGCCGTCACATGAAGCAGTTACATGTAGCAGTTACATGTAGCTGTCACATGTAGTCATCACATGTAGCAGTTACATGTAGCCATCACATGTAGCAGTTACATGTAGCTGCCACATGTAGTCATCACATGTAGCATCACATGTAGCATCACGTGTAGCCATCACATGTAACAGTTATATGTAGCTGCCACATCTAGTCATCACATGTAGCAGTTACATGTAGCCGTCGCATGTAGCCATCACATGAAGCAGTAACATGTAGCAGTTACATGTAGCTGTCACATGTAGCCGTCACATGTAGCAGTTACATTTAGCTGTCACATTTAGCCGTCACATGTAACAGTTACATGCAGCCGTCGCATGTAGCAGTTACTTGTAGCCGTCACATGTAGCGTCACATGTAGCCGTCACATTTAGCAGTTACATGTAGCCGTCACATGAAGCAGTTACATGTAGCAGTTACATATAGCTGTCACATGTAGTCATCACATGTAGCAGTTACATGTAGCCATCACATGTAGCAGTTACATGTAGCTGCCACATGTAGTCATCACATGTAGCATCACATGTAGCATCACGTGTAGCCATCACATGTAACAGTTATATGTAGCTGCCACATCTAGTCATCACATGTAGCAGTTACATGTAGCCGTCGCATGTAGCCATCACATGAAGCAGTAACATGTAGCAGTTACATGTAGCTGTCACATGTAGCCGTCACATGTAGCAGTTACATTTAGCTGTCACATTTAGCCGTCACATGTAACAGTTACATGCAGCCGTCGCATGTAGCAGTTACTTGTAGCCGTCACATGTAGTGTCACGTGTAGCCATCACATGTAACAGTTACATGTAGCCGTCGCATGTAGCCATCACATGAAGCAGTAACATGTAGCAGTTACATATAGCTGTCACATGTAGTCATCACATGTAGCCGTCACATGTAGCAGTTACATTTAGCTGTCACATTTAGCCGTCACATGTAACAGTTACATGCAGCCGTCGCATGTAGCAGTTACTTGTAGCCGTCACATGTAGTGTCACGTGTAGCCATCACATGTAACAGTTACATGTAGCCATCGCATGTAGCCATCACATGAAGCAGTAACATGTAGCAGTTACATATAGCTGTCACATGTAGTCATCACATGTAGCCGTCACATGTAGCGTCACATGTAACAGTTACATGTAGCTGCCACATGTAGTCATCACATGTAGCAGTTACATGTAACTGTTACATGTAGCGTCACATGTAACAGTTACATGTAGCTGCCACATGTAGTCATCACATGTAGCAGTTACATGTAGCCGTCACATGTAGCCGTCACATGTAACTGTTACATGTAGCTGCCACATGTAGTCATCACAAGTAGCGTCACATGTAGCTGTCACATGTAGCAGTTACATGCAGCCGTCACATGTAGCAGTTACAGGTAGCCACCACATGTAACAGTTACATGTAGCCGTCACATGTAGCAGTTACATGTAGCCGTAACATATAGCAGTTACATGTAGCCGTCACATGTAACAGTTACATGTAGCAGTCACATGTAGCGGTCACATGTAACAAATACATGTAGCCGTCACATGTAGCAATTACATGTAGCCGTAACATGTAGCATTTACATGCAGCCATCACATGTAGCAGTTACAGGTAGCCCGTCACATGTAGCAGTTACATGTAGCCATCACAGGTAATAGTTACATGTAGCCATTACATGTAGCAGTTACATGTAGCCCTCACATGTAGAAGTTTCATATAGCCCTCACATGTAAGCATCACATGTAGCCGTCACATGTAGCAGTTACATGTAGCCGTCACATGTAGGCATCACATGTAACAGTTACATGTAACGTCATATGTAACAGTTACATGTAGCCGTCACATGTAGTCATCACATGTATCCATCACATGTAGCAGTTACATGTAGCCATCATAGTTAGCAGTTACATGTAACCATCACATGTAGCAGTTACATGTAGCCATCACATGTAGCAGTTACATGTAGCTGTCGCATGTACATGTAGCAGTTACATGTAGCAGTCACATGTAGCCATCACATGTTGCAGTTACATGTAGCCGTCGCATGTACATGTAACAGTTACATGTTGCAGTCACATGTAGCCATCACATGGAGCAGTTACATGTAGTCGTCAAATGTAGCTGTCACTTGTAGCCATCACATGTAGCCGTCACATGTAGTCATCACATGTATCCATCACATGTAGCAGTTACATGTAGCCATCATATTTAGCAGTTACATGTAATCATCACATGTAGCAGTTACATGTAGCCATCACGTGTAGCAGTTACATGTAGCTGTCGCATGTACATGTAGCAGTTACATGTAGCAGTCACATGTAGCAATCACATGTAGCAGTTACATGTAGCCGTCGCATGTACATGTAGCAGTTACATGTAGCCGTCACATGTAGCCGTCACATGTAGCCATCACATGGAGCAGTTACATGTAGTCGTCAAATGTAGCTGTCACTTGTAGCATCACATGTAGTCGTCAAATGTAGCCGTTACATGTAACAGTTACATGTAGCCATCACATGTAGCCATCACATGTAGCGTCACATGTAGCAGTTACATGTAGCCATCACATGTAGCAGTTACATGTAGCTGTCGCATGTACATGTAGCAGTTACATGTAGCAGTAACATGTAGCAATCACATGTAGCAGTTACATGTAGCCGTCGCATGTACATGTAGCAGTTACATGTAGCAGTCACATGTAGCCGTCACATGTAGCCATCACATGGAGCAGTTACATGTAGTCGTCAAATGTAGCTGTCACTTGTAGCATCACATGTAGTCGTCAAATGTAGCCGACATATGTAACAGTTACATGTAGCCATCACATGTAGCGTCACATGTAGCAGTTACATGTAGCTGTCACATGTAGCGTCACATGTAGCAGTTACATGTAGCTGTCACATGTAGTAAACACATGTAGCAGTTACATGTAGCCGTCACATGTAGTAATCACATTTAGCAGTTACATGTAACCGTCACATGTAGCCGTCACATGTAGTCGTCAAATGTAGCCGTCACATGTAACAGTTACATGTAGCCGTCACATGTAGTAATCACATGTAGCAGTTACATGTAGCCGTCACATGTAGTAATCAAATGTTGCAGTTACATGTAACCGTCACATGTAGCCGTCACATGTAGTCGTCAAATGTAGCCGTCACATGTAACAGTTACATGTAGCCGTCACATGTAGCGTCACATGTAGCAGTTACATGTAGCTGTCACATGTAGCTGTCACATGTAGCGTCACATGTAGCCATCACATGTAGCTGTCACATGTAGCGTCACATGTAGCCATCACATGTAGCTGTCACATGTAGCCGTTGCATGTAGCAGTTACATGTAACAGTTACGTGTGGCCATCCCACCTCACTTTAAGATTACTGTAAAACTTACATCCATTGTTTGAAATTGCTATAAATACAGAAAAGCAATAAGATGTTTAATAAATCTTCATGAGATGAAGCTGTTTATACAAATATATTACAATAACACACCTTTCGTTTGGCTAAACTTTGACATTTATGTTTTGCTTTAAAAGAAATGATAAGCTCAGAAATGTACTGTTGGTGTTTAATCAGCATGGCGCTACAGCTCAGTGACCACGCTCATAAAACCCAGCACCAGCATCTGATCGCTTGCAGAGATGCTCCACTGTCTCACACTGTTAGTGTGTTTGTACGTCCACAGGAGTCCATGCTCAAAGCAACACATGTTTTCAAAAT